ATTGGTATAGACTACTCTATGGATTGATCCCATGTTAAATACGCCTTTTCTGTCTTTGAGATTCATTTTTTTAAAAACAATATTCCCCCTTCCATCTTATGACCATTTTTTTTTCAAATCCACCCCACACATCTGTTACAGCTACATGTTTTGTTTCATTTGCTTCACAATCTATCTACCCACCAGCCCATCAGTTCTTCCCACTGTCTGTCTAGTGTGCTGCTTTGGACTCAAAAGTAAATTACAGATTTGTGATGGCATATGCCTTGTCCCTTGTCCCTTGTTCTTTTCCCTTTCAACTTTACATGTCTTTCCAGCTTTACATTTTTGTACATTTGTTTTTGGGAAAGGGTCTCAAGTATCTGTCCCAGGCTGGTCTCCAACCCCATGTGTAGCCAAGCATGACCTTGGACTCGTGATCTCCTGCCTCCTCCTCCCAACTTCTGGTTTCTGCCATCTACTACCACATCCACCAACCACTATAGATTTTGTTCTGTTTTTAGGATTTGGGGCCTAGAAAGAGCTTACTGCACAGTCTCAAAAACAAACACACAATAACAAAAAAATAACTTTTTTTAACGTTGTGGTTGCCCATTTGTTCTGCTTGTACAAATATGCACACTTGTGTCTTTTAACAGTCAAAGATTCATTGTATCTGCCCACGTCCTATTAGCCTGGCAGCCCAAGCGTCTTCAGTCTTGCGCTTTCCTTTTTCTATTACTTCCTCTCTTATCTCTTCACTCACCACAGCCTTTCAGTTGCCTCCCCTTCTCCCTTTCAGCTCCCCAGCAGATAATTTTTAAACTAAACAACAGCTGAACAATACCCCACTGTTCTACATGTCTGGGTATGCAGGGCACGTCCACGCCTGCCCAGAACCGAAGGAAAATATCATCTCTCACACTTTATTTCTTTGCATCAAAAGTGAATAAATCTGTGCATGAGCTTCATCGGCTATGTCAAAGTCTATTTAACAGGGTGAGCAAGGCTGTGTTCTCTGCATAAAATCTTTACCACTAACCGGCGTGATAAATGCCAAGTGGACAAGCATGGTGTGTGGGAAGATGGAGACTACTGTCTTATAGTTGCTCCATTGTTTAAGCCATTAGGCTGCAATTCATGCTTGGCTACATATTTACATTGTTGTAACAAGCATTTTCTTCTTTTAAGGTAGCTTTTGAAGGGAGTCCTCCCTTTCGTGCACAGCCTTTAAAAAGCAAAACACAAACACACACACACACAGAGAGAGAGAGAGAGAGAGAGAGAGAGAGGAGAGAGAGAGGGAGGGAGGGAGGGAGGAAAGGAAGGAGGGAGGGACGGAAGTTGACTTGATCAAAATATGCTTAAAAAATTCTCAAAGAACAAAAAAAGAAAGAAAGAAAAAGAAAAAAATATTATATGTCAAGCAAACAAGCCCTTTCTAAGATTTAGCACTTTTCATCTTCTCCCCTTGACCGGCAGCGTTTCTATTTCTTTATAAAAGCTGTTGGCTTCGAGGTAAAAGACAGCAAATAATCTCCAGCAATCCGGGCACCACTGGGTTTCCTTTACAACAGCTACGATAAAGCTTCCTTTAAAAACCCTAAGCAGTGCTTTGCTTTTCAGTGAACATCAGTTTCACAGCAATGCTGTCAGCTTTCTGGATTATAAAACCAAATTGGCTGCCTGTAAGGGAAGGAGGCAAAAGAAATCAGATGGAAATTTTCCCTAAGAAAATATTGTGCTGAGCTGGGGAGTAGCTCTGTTGGTTGAGTGCTTACCTGGTATGCTTGTGGCACTGGGTTTGGTCCCCAGCACCACACAAACCAGGCATGGCAGTTTATGCCTGTAACCCCAGCACTTAGGAGGCAGAGAAAAGGCATCCAAATTTCAAGGTTATTTAACCTCTGCTACATAGCTAGTTTGAGGCCAGTCTAAGGGATACTTTGTCTCAAAAAGAGAAAAGAGAGAGACATTGTGGGAAGTGAATGAAATGTATCCAAAATTATACTAATAACTCTTCGTTTGAAATGCCACATCCTTGTACCTGACTCTTTCTTGCTTTGCCCCCTGGGACTATTCCTGGAACATTACTTCATTCATTTACTCAACCCTCATGGATCACCTGCTCCACACAAGGCACTTGATGAAGTCCGGGGTAGAAAGAGAGGTGTGCATCCTGCTCCCCAGACCTGATAATCTGGAGGGAGACATGATCTGTGGCTTGTTACTTTCTGAGATGTGACATGGGGTTCATCCGGAAACTGTAGGACAGCCTTTCCTACGTGGAAAAGGCTTCCTGGGGCACCTCAGGATGCCTGTGACTGGATAACTGAAAAATAGTAGTTAAAACAGTTGAAATGTAAACAATAATCAACCCAGCATAGACAATTTGGAGACAAAAAAAAAAAAAAAAAAAAAAGAAACTTCCAACAGGGTGTGTAACTCAGTGTACCTAGCATAAGACAGTGAGCTCTGAGTTCCATCCTGGGCACATTACCAATGGGAGGGAGCTGGAGGGGCTCCTGTACCTGACAGATCTCAGGAGCTTGAGTTTCTGTACCAGGGCCAGGGTCTAGTACAGTGTGATCAAGAGTCTACCTGACGGTGTCCTGCTAATGGATCCCTGGGTTGTCTTCACTAGATGGGGCTGTTTTGGATTAACTGATTCCATCTGTACCAGTTCTGTTTATAAGGTCATAGTCTGAGGTACTGGGGCGGGGGTTAGGATACTAGCAGAGGAATCTTGGGGAAGGTACAATCCAATCCCTTCCCTCCTCTTCCTCCACATCTCCTGCTGCTCCCTCCTGTTAGCTAGCCCCCTGGTGGTTGATAAGGGATGCTGGCTGACATGAGCTAGCCCCCTGCATCACAGAGCAGGCTGGGGTAAGGTAGGGAATCTAGAGGGACAGAGAAAATTCCAGAATACTTTACATTCTTGGGAGGTCTACTAATGTGGCTGTCAGCACCTCTAGATTGACTTGGTTCTTAGTCTGTCAAAAGGGGTTCTTTGACTTTTCCTGGGGTGACCTGAGCAAATGACCATTTACTTCAGATTGAGCACCAATGACAAACCAAGTAAGTCATTCCACCTTGGTCTAGCTTGGTGAATCAGTGAGTTTACACTGTGGCATGGGTCACAGATCACACGTCTTATCCCTGGAGCCTCTGTACCATTCTCAGGCACCTCTGCTGCAGGAGTCTCCTTCCTAGCACCTGTTACTACTTGTCTGACAGGAGGAACCCTGTGAACACATGGGCTCCCGAGGCTTCCTGAGTCCTGTGAATGGAGTCAGAGGACAACTGTGGGAGTCAGTACTCCCCTTCCAGCATGTGAATCCTGCATATCAAACTCAGATAATTAGGTTTGGCTGCAAGCACCCTTGCCCATTGAGCCATCTCACTAGCCCTGTTCCTTGAGTCCTAAGGATCATGTGTGTCTAAAGGATAGAACATCTCAATTCAGAGGAAACTGCTACACAACAAGCCAGAAAGGGACCCTCCATTTCCAGTCCCCTTAACAGTTCTCTGACAGGAGCTGATGGTTCTGTTTCAACCACAAGAAGGGAGAAACAGGAGACAGGATGCCTAGTGTTGTACCCTTAACACAGCTTGACCCAGTACACTAGAATGTTTTCCCCTTGTGACTTCCTAGCTAGGGCTGTATTTGCTGCATGCAATGATAAGAGTGGCAATAAACCAAGTGAAGTCTATGTTGCCTCACACATCAAGAGAGGGATAGTGCAGGCCCACGCTGGCACAATGACTTAAGGCAGTTAGCAAAGGCCCAGCTCCTCCTAACTCCTGCTCCACTGTAGTGTGTGTATTTTGGTTTGTTTGTTTGTTTGTTTGTTTGAGGCAAGGTTTCTTATTTCTCAGGTTGGCCTCAGACTCACCATGTAGCATCCAACTCCTGATCTTCCTGCCCTACTTCCTAAGGCTGCATTACCATGTCAGGCTGAGAGTGTGGGTTTTGGTCTCAGGACTTGAGGAGACTGTTCCTCTTCTAGGCCCATACCTGTTTTCCAGGATGGAAGTAGAAGGGAACTTCAGAGGACAGCAGGCAGGAGAAGCCAGGAAAGTAAAGTGTTTTTATTTCTTTGTTTTCCCCTCCACCTTTGAAAGTAGCACCCAGATCTGAAGTCTAGCTGTGGACTTGAGTAGATTGAGGGACTCAATAAACACAATGTACCATGTGCCTAGTGTTTCAGTCAGTAGCCAATGTGCCATATGTCATGTGCTTCAGCCAAGAGCCAATGTACCATGTGTCCTGTGCTTCAGCCAATGGCCCAATAGCTAACCACACAAAATGAGGTCACATCACCTAGTACTGTTGGCACTGCCCTAGTCTATGATGTTTGCACAGAAATCATCCAAGGTTACATCTCTCAGAATATATCCTGCTTGTCCTTTCTAAGTCACATATGACTCAAAGCAAGTTGTGGTCTAGAATAAAATCCTTCCCACCAGTTCCTAGCAGTTATGAACCATAAAATCAGCCTCTTCAGGGATGGAGAGATGGTTCAGTGGTTAAGAGCACTTGTTGCTCTTGCAGAAACCAGGGTTCAGTACCCAGTGCTAACATGGCTCACAACCATCCATAACCCCAGTTCCAGGGATTTGACATCTTCATCTGACCTCTGATGGCACCAGAAATGTGATACACATACATACATGCAGGCAAAATACTGACACATACATATAAATAAATAAATAAATAAATAAATCTATTTCAAAATCAGCCTCCTGAGGCACAGAGCAAGGAAACATGTAATAAGCACCTACTAGGTGCACTCGCCACCTTTCTTTAGTCCCTACTGTCAGAAAATGCTTTCTCCAAAGTTGACTAGAGAAATATCTTAAGGTTACTTTATATTGTCTACAGACTGTTGGCTGACATATTTATAAACCTCATAATGCACCCATGCATATTAAAATGGGTCTAACCAATCACCCCCTCTCTTGGTGCTACACAGACACGTGGGTAAAGAATATAACTTAATTTTATCTTCTCTCTTTAGAGGAAGAAAACCAAATTCATTGCCTGTGATTTCCTGACCGAGTGGCTGTACAAGTAAGTTGTTCCTGTCAAGGCTATTCAATGTCCACATGGATTTGATTGTATTAATTTGCGATAGAAGAACTACTGACTTTTTTTTTTTTTAAAGAACTACTGACTTAATTCTTGTCCTTTTTCTTGTCAATCAAAGCCAGAATCCAAAGAGGGCAGGAGAACCATTCACAGAATTCTTCTCCATTCCATTTGTAAAGAAATGGCTCCAATGCCAGTAAGTGTGAATAGTTGACTCCTAATATTTTTTTTCTATTACGAGTATGTGTGTTTGTAAGTTTGCATGTGTGTGGGGCCACATGTAAAAGCTTAGGCTGACATTGGAGTCCTCTCTGATTACCATTCACCTTGTTATTGAAGCTTGCTGACGTGGTCGGTCTGGTCAGCCAGCTTGCTCTGGGATCCTCTGTGTCTGTCTTCTGAGCACTGAAGAACAGGCTCTTTCCCAGCATTTATGTGGATTCTGGGGAGCCCTGCTCTGGTTCTCATGCTTACACAGCTCTAGCCACTGAACCATCTTGCCCACCCAATCCTAATCTTAAGGTTATGTACAGGATGACTTTCTTTGGTATAAGGGAATTCACTCACATACTGCATCTGGACTCCAGGTCAGTTATGCTTGGGACTCTTGTCTGGTTATTTGTAGCAAAGACTAAGCTCTCTCTGTCAACACACTGATTCCATCCCAGAAACACTTCAGAAATAACACAGAAAAGAAGTTCTTAGCCTGAATAACTTTTCCTTCTAGTTTCTTTCTCTGTCTCTGCCCACCTGTCTGATAGTGAGGCTTGAGCCCAAGGTCCTTGTACATGCTAGATGAGAAGCGAGATTTACCAGCAGAGCTGCAGTCCCTTCCCACAGGTCTCCAACTCAAGCTCAACTGACTCTGTGAATTTGAGGCCAGCCTCATCTACACAGTGAATCCCAGGCCATCCAGAGCTACATGGTGCTGAGAGGATCCAGGTTCCACTCCCAGCACCCACATGGCAGTCAACAAACATCTGTACCTCCAATTCCAGGGGATCCACTTTTGACCTCTGCAGGCACCGAGCTCACATGTGGTACACAGACTTAACATGCAGCAAAATACCCATATGCATACAATAAACCTAAAAACAAAATACAAGGCTTTGTCTCCTTGAGAATCCTTGTAAATCCCTAGTCACTTACTGCCTGGAATTCTTTGGTAAATCATAGAAACACACTGAGAAGTAGCAGCCATCATTGCATCTGGAGACACAATGTTCTGGCTTCTGCTGGCATTTGTATTCTGTGTTTCCATTATCTTTCCAGGAGATGCCCAGGAGCATGAAAAAGATGAAATCTAACACCTCCCCACCGTAATGCAGAGAGTTTGGTGCTGAGGAAACCAGAAATGAACAAACTAGGCATGAAGCCCGAGAGCAGAGAGGCATGTTTATACACAGCAGTAGTTTGTGTAGTATTGTAATTCACGTGATAACAAACACTAAAGGGAAGTCTTGAGGCAGGAGACCCTTCCTGGGCCTGGAGCCAACCCAGCTGGGTTGAGTCCAGACTTGGATTTGAGAATTTAGGGGACATGTTCTTCCGGGGTACCCTGGAGCTGGAAGAGGCAGCGAAGCAAGCAGGAGCCAGAGTCCTTCAGGCACATGAGAACGGGAGCTGGGAAACAACCTCTAGCCCAGGTTTTTTGGACTTTGGCTGTGTGGGGAGGAGTGCTGTGCTGTGCATTGTAATGCTGGCAACATTGGTGCCTTTTCCCTACTAGATGCCAGTGTGACCCCCACCCCTACAGTTTGAATATTCCAGAATATCTGCAGACAGATGAATGTCTCAAAGCTGGGTGTAAGGCAGATTACCCAAGTTGAGAACCTGTGATCTAATCCTGTGGTTTTCTTTTCTTTTTTATTTTATTATGTATATAACATTCTGCTTCCATGTATATCTGCACACCAGAAGAGGGCACCAAATCTCATAACGGATGGTTTTAAGCCACCATATGGTTGCTGGGAATTGAACTCAGGACCTCTGGAAGAGCAGCCGGTGCTCTTAACCTCTGAGCCATCTCTCCAGCACCTAATCCTGTGGTTTTCTACCAAGGCTGCATTTAAAAATCATCTGCATGCCAGGGCTAGAGAAATGGCTCAGCCATTAAAGGTTAGGCTCACAACCAAAATATAACATCTACTGCAAACCAGGCATGGTGAAATGAGCCTTTAATCTCAGTACTTAGGAGACAAAGGCAAGCAGATCTCTGTGGGTTTGAGGCCAGCCTCATTTACAGAGTGAGTTCCAGGTCAGTCAGGACTATATAGTGAGACCTTGTCCCCAAAACTGAACAGTAAGAATAAGAATTGTTAAATCGTCTATAGAGCTTTGTTTCCCTCAAGACCTGTTAAATCCAAACTTTCAGACTGGCCTGAGCATCATTTTATTTTCATTTTGTTTCCAAAAGCTTACTCTGTGTACAGTTTATTTGCTGTGGTTTCTGTTTTTGAAACAGAATATTACTGTAGCCTAGGCTGGCCTCAAACTTTCAATCCTCCTGCCTCAGCTTCCTGAAAGCTGGAATGAGAGGCATGCACCAGTCTAGCTTCCTGAGTAATCTTAAGAGTACAGTCAGATTCGAATTCTCTGTTGCATAGAAGTCACCCTGAGTCAAAGGTCACCTGTGTGAGAGGTCACCTGCATCAGAGGTCACCCTGCCTGTAGGTGATAATAACTGGTCTAATTGAGCAGTCACTTTGCTAAATGCTTTCTTGAATATGATCCCTTTTAGCCTCCCCACAGCTCTTGGATATAGATGCTAAGACCAGGCAGTTGGCAATGAAGGAAGCTAGTCTTGGAGAAATACAGTGATCACTGCACCTCTTCCCCACTCAGGTAGCCTGTTACAATAAATCTTTCTGCCAAAAGCCACCCAAGTTCTACTGCCATGTGGGTGGTCTCTGCCAGTCTCCCGAGTTCTGTCCACTGCGTGGATGGACAAAATAATACACAGACTTATATTAGGTACAAATGCTGCTTGGCCAATGACTAGGATTCTCATCTGTTAGCTCAGTCTTAATTATCATAAATCTATATATTTTATAAGACTTATCTTATTGGACATCTTCCATTGGTGTCCCTCCTTGCCGGTGGATCACATTGTGCTGCTGGAGGAAGAGGGGAGGGGAAAAATGGACACTTCCTGTTTCTCCTTGCTTAAATATGAGTCTCCTTGCTATGTCACTTCCTGCCTGGATCACCACTTCTCTACTACATTTCCCAGAATCCTCTTTGACTCCTAGTCCTGTATAACTTGCTGTCTCATTGGCCAAACAGTACTTTATTCAATAATCAATAAGATGAACATACACAGTACATTCCCCATCAGTAGCCTGATGCAGGTTGGCCACACTCTGATAAACAATAACAAGACCAGAGCACACAGGAAATAGAGGAGATGCCCCACTCCGTTCTTAACCTTCTCTGCCTATAGGTTCTTAACCTTCTCTACCTATAGGTTCTTAATCCTTTCCACCCCTCCTCACAGAGCCCTACCCTGACTACCTGCAAGGAAGTATGGTCTGGGCTGTGCATGTGGGCTCATGGCTACTGGGGAACACTCGATGTCCCAGAAACACCCACATTTCAGAAAAGGAACTGAGGCACAGGATGACTAAGTTTGACTCAGGTTGACAAGTCAGCAGCAGAGTCGGAATTTGAACCCAGGCAGCCCCGCCAAGAGCACCGGCTGCCTTACCTGCCAACCGGAACTTAGTGGGATCAGTATTGAGATTGGGAGGAAACTGACCTCATGAAGGATGTAATATATACATATGGGTAATTTAAGGGATTTGAAATGTTTTTTGTTTTTTTTTTTTTTACTTAATGAGTTTCCTTTCTTGGCCTGACTTTAGCAAACAACCCCTGTGTGAGATGTAATGCTAAATATATCTGCTTCTACTTACTGCTTCCAGTAAGCCGGTCTGTCAGCCTGGGAGCCATCTTCGTGGGAACCTGGGTCTTATTTTAATGTCAAAGTCCAGCTGCCTGCAGCACAATGCCATTGTCGTGTGAGATCACCCTGGATTGGAGGCGTTTGTCATAGGTGGCTGCTAGTGATTGTCCTGTAAACAATCCTTCTCCTACCAGGTCCAGCCATCGCCCTCTCTCCCTGCTCTCAATTTAGCAGACTCTGTCTTCTGTCTAGTCTTTCGTAGTTACTCTCCCCAAGCCTATTTTTTTTTTAATATTTTTTTGTATAGCTTAGGACATTGACAATCTTTAAAAATACTCTTTAGCTCATAAAATTGCAACTAGAATTCATTATGTACAAAATATGCATCTTTATGAAATAAATTATGCAGTGAAAGAAAACGCTTCAAGTCAAGGATCATCATGGAATTATATCACTCTAGACCTAAAGAGTTTTTCAGAATGATGCTTCATTCCAACATGGATGACTTGGATTTTTCTCTTAGCTAAGAGTTGCTTTAAGAATGCAGAATACGCCTGAGTCGAGTGGTAGAGCGCTTGCCTAGCATGTGTGAAGCCCTGGATTCAATACCCAGCACTTCATAAACTGGGTGTGGGGGTACATGTCTGCCATCTCAGCACTCCAGAGGCGGGGACAGAAGGGTCACAAGTTCAGAGTCCTTGGTTACTCCTGGGGTGGGAGGGTGTATTTATTCCTTTTCTTTTTGCTCTAACTAGTGACTTCTGGTGGGTACTTATGGCTTTTCCATAGTTACAATAAAACAATAGTTATAGTAAAACATAAGGCTTTTCTGCATTGATTTTCCTGCTTCGGGGCACTTCTCATGTTTCTCAGTCCACATACTCTAGTGAGCTAGAGCCCTCAGCTGAGTGTAGGACCGGGTTGTCCAAACAGAGCAGGGATCCCATCCAGATGATTGCTGCCAAAGCTAGTTCAGTATGAGATAATCTCAAGACTTTTTAAGGGGCAACAGGAGGGAATTTCCTTTACACTAGACTTAGATCTTTGCTTTTGTTTTTTTCAGCACTAGGGATCAAACCCAGGGCCTTGGGCATATCAGACAAGTGCTCTATCAATGGGCTACAGCCCTAGGCCTAGCTTTGGATCTCTGAGTGACAATTCTTGAGTTGCTGAAAGCATTCAGAAAATAAAATCATGTCTGATAAAAAGCAGGCCTGAGAGATGATAAGAGTCTGAGATCTTGTTTGTTTGCTTGTTAAGTTTTCTGACCATGACTAAGCCAACTCTATTCA